TTCCGTCTACCAGCAAAATGTTTGATACTGTTGATCACCGTGACGGTATTCTTGCGTCCAATTGGATAGCCCGTGATGATGCAGGTATATATATCTCGGATGATCATGACGTACTTGTCGTTGTTCTCAGCATCTCCTGCGGCTTCAACCAGATCGAAGGTAATCAAGTCGCTAAACATCTTGGCTACACGTTGAAATGCACCGGATTTGGATCTGAAGTGCCTCATCTTCGCTTTCACGCATGATTCGCAGAACGGGTTTCGATACCTATGCGTCAGCAAATGTGTCAGGGTGTTGGCGTCATCCTTCAATGTACCGATTCTCTTATTGATGGATGCACCTTCGTAGATGTCGACTTCAATACCTGCTTCACGATCTGCGTCATCACCTTCACACTCAGCTTTCGTCTTCACCCGGCTCGGGCCCACGTCCTCGAGCCTCATCACCAAGTTCTTCGACTCTGGGCGGCGCAGGTCCCGCTCCGCCAGGCGGGCCGAAATCTACGGCTTCATAGGGTTCGCTCACTTCTTCGGCTCCTGGTAGTTCTCCATCATCAACACCATCCTCTTCACCAACAAGTCCATGCTGGGGTTCTCCGACTTCTTCGTCTGCTTCTCCTATCTCTCCATCATCGCTATCTCGATCGGCTCCGATAACCTCCGAGCATTTTCAAGCGCTCGATAATGTCTTCAGACTCGGGCCGATGACGTTTGCTCCTTGCGTTCCGATCTCCAACCAAATAGGGAATATCATCCTTGACATGTAGATGAACCATCTCCTTTTCAGGTGTTATCATGAACGGCAACTTCACACATCCAGTGGAAAGAATATCCCATCTTCATACATCGTCGACCAATAGATAAAACCGTCGGAGTCTCGTCTAGAACAAAGGGTTGGACTGTTTCCTTCAGCTCATTCACGTAGTCCTTGATAGAATCCGAAGTGGACGTAGTACCATTAATTTGCCGTTTGAAAGACAATCTCGTCCTTGTCCTGAACGATGTCAACACCTCGAGTATGACAAGGAGAATCATGAGATTACGGAAGGGGTCGTGAAATGGAAGAGAAAGCACGGACAACCTATCAGTCTATTCGCCCTGTCTGCGAACCAATGCGAGGGAGTAAAATGGCTGATGGACACAGGATGCGGTCATGACTTGATCGGCAGATCCAAGGCGACCTCCCTCAAAGTGAAGGTTCGTTCCTTGTTCATTGGCATCTTGTGAGTCCGATATATATATATATATATATATATATATATATCGTTGGCCGCCTCGCTAATAATCTCAGCTCTCATAAGTGCTTTCTTGTGACTATACGCAAGGCGCCGTCGATGATCATACGTCTTGAACGTCTTGGCGTCGATCGGTTTCGTGGTTGTTTGGGACTTGTCCTCATGACTTCCTTCGTACCACCACGAACTGATCCGCCACTGTTCGTCCTCATGCTTAAGGTATTCCACCTCCTCGCTCACGCTTAAGGTATTCCACCTCCTCGCTCACGTCGTTGTCAAGTATCTCCTGAAACCACACGTACTTCTCGGGGGTCTCAGTCTCACCTGACCATCGAGAAGATTCGCTCGTGGCGTCTTCTGCATCACGATCGTGATACACAGTCTTGACCTCGGCTTCACTTTCCTCAACGTTCTTGTTGTCCTTTTTGACTTCCGACGTTGTGGCTCTCTTGACAGTGATTGCAGGCATTGCGAGGTGAACCTTCCGCACAACGGCTGGAGCTGCTGCTTTGGGTTTGGCTTTTGCTTTTGGTTGTTCCTTGGCGTTTGGTGCTGGAGCGGACGCCTTAGCGGTCGTTGCCTCCGAATGTTTGCATTTGCATTGATCCCCTTTTGTGCATTTTCCCTCTCTCCACGCGTAGCAGACCCTGTCCCTCTTCGGTGAAGGAGACCGTGCTGCTTTACCACCGCCTTTGCCCTTACCTTTCTCTGTGTCCAGCTTGCGCTTGTGCTTGGGATTGGGAATATGGACACTCCTTGCCTTCAAGACATCCTCCCTCTTTCGTATGATGGAAAACACATGGCCATTCCTTCTTTGCTTCGGAACTCATGCTTTTCCCTTTTCCTTTTCCTTTGCCCTTCTTCTCGTGATCTTTTGCTTTGGCTTTGGGTAGCACTGGGGCCGCTGTAGTTCCGCTTTCACTCTTCTTGTCTCCCTTTCCTCGCTTGGGCTCTGCTGGTGCTGCATTCTTGTTGCTGCGCAGCAGATTCTTGACCGACTTTTCTTTCATGTCGTACACATAATCTTCGCGATCAGATCAATCAACCCCAACAGGAACCGGTAAGTTTTCTCGGGGTGTGCGTCCGGTAGCCGTGCGTAGGTATTAAGACCAAACTCCAGCTTCCTGCTTCCTTTGATCTTATGATATAGGATATCCCGTAGCGTGATTTCTCTGGGTATATCCTCCTTCCTCAGGTTGAGTGAGATATCATACCACTTGTTGCTGAAAACGGACATGTTCTTATCCCCGGGGTACTCCAGTCTGATCAAGTTCTCAAGGGTGAATACCATATCTGATCTGTCACTTGACCTGAAAGATTGTGGAATGATAGCGAGAATCTCTCTTCCCTTGATCAACCTGTTTTCTCTTTGACGTTGTTCGGCGTGCAGTTGTATATCATGAACCACGCCCTTCGCATCGTCAGGTGCGCTTCTGAGCATGATCTGAAGTGCCAGAGCCAGCTTGATATCCAACATTGCAAATCGTTCGCCTCCCGAGTCTGCCAATGAGTCAAGGTCAGGATTTACCACGAAAGCACACGCCAACCACGACATCCATGCTTCAGTATCAGGATCGGCTGATGCGCTGGTGACGTTCATCGTGAGTGCCATCTTCCAGCTATCCAGCTTCGTGATCTTCGGTACGTTGACTTTCTCGGCTTCCTGACGTGAGATCCTTGGTCGATCATTGTTGTTACCTCGATGGTCCCTCGACCTTTTTGTCGTGGAGATCTCCTGCTGCGATGACGTTCATCATCTTCTTCATCGGATGACTCGTTCTCATCATCGTCGTCATCATCGTCATCAGGTGGATCAGGTCCGATTCGGCCGTCTTGCTGTGGAACACGTCCTTGACCCCCCGCCTTACCATCCATGTTGCCAGGCGGACCGCCATCTCCGTGACCACCACCTCCATGATTGCCAGCTGAAAAGTAATATTTGGAATAGACCCCGCTGCCTCATGAAGTTGGTCGATATGTGCCTGCATCATTGGGTCTTGGTAAACAGGAACAAAACAGAACCCGGTCAGCTCTCTGTTCGTCTCCGCCAGTTGACAAACAAGTTCTTCTTGGACCTTGATCTCATGTCGTGCCTCCTCGATTTCCTTGGCCATTTCAGCAACGTGATAGAGGTAACCAGATCGTGCATTGCTGGGCTTTTGCCTTGATGCCGCAAGTTCGCAAATCACGTCGTCAAACTCCTGATCTCTTTGGGTGATGCGCTCATACAGTACATCTCCTTTTAGAGCTTGATCTCTCGCAATCTGGATCTCCTCATTCATCTTCGTGTCACGTTCTTGCACTGCACGATGGCCCATCAAATACAATTCATCCCTCATTGGGCTTCCTGTTCAGCGTACCTGATAGCGTCGTTCACTTTGTTCACCAATGTACCTTGTGGCTCGTCGTCAATCGCCATTGTTGGTTGCGGCATCTATGCCGTTTCCAGTCTCTCGCGCAAACCACAAATAGTGTTCTCCTCGTTCTGCGAGTCCGTATTGATCTTCGTCTGGTAGGAGTTGATCATTGCTTGATATTGTGCTATCTCAGAAGAAGAATTTCTCCTGTCCTGCTCAACTCTGTTTTTGCTAATCAATGCATTCTCCTCCTCACATCTGATTCAAGAAGATCAACGGTTGTGGCCATCTCATGGTGCCGCTTCTCGTACTCGAGGACTTTATGACGGGCTTCTTCCTGATAATCTCCGTAGATCTTCACAAGGTGATGCGCTTGATCTTCGGACAGTTGTGTCTTGCCACGTTGAACATCGATGTGTTGAGCAGCCTCTCGAAGTTGTTCGTCGGATCTTTTGAGGATGTGAGCTACTTGCTGTTCCGAAATACCAGCTCTCCGTTCCAGTTCCTGAATGCGCGTAACATTGCCACGGTCGTCACGTTGTTGACTATCATACGCTTCCTGTAGCAAAGCCAAATTGCGCGTAGCCTCTTCCACTTCCTGCCTGAGGGTCTTGTTCTCCTGGGTGATCTTTGACGGACTTGAGCCTTTGAGCGACTTCGATCGCCCCTTCTCTTTTCTCACAGGACTATGGCCTGCGTTATCTCACAACCCTGCAACAGCGGATCGCGGCCCTTTTGTCTCTTTACAGCACTCTATTGGATCTTAGTCTTGAGCCTTGAGCCAAAGCATCCATATGCATGTGTCGGCTGTTCACACAACAACATTCCCACAAAGGTTTCGAGGGAGCTTAAACAAGGGTAAGAGAACAGGGTGACCCTCAGAACCTGCCCATGGGATTTTAGCCTGTGGCCCGGAGATTCTTAGCAGAAAACATGGCTCAGCTGCACCCCCAGCATCATCAGCATCACCAGCACCACCCTCAGCATCGCCCTCTAACAGAACGCGCGGCACGAGTTTTTGTATATAGTTTTTGTGCTGCAAACAGGGCTCAGCAACACCCCCAGCATCAGCAGCATCAGCAGCATCACCCTCAGCATCGCACAGCCGACCTGGGAGAAGAGGCCGATTTGCAGGGGCAACAGAACCACTCGCGCGGCACGGGTTGCTGAAAACCGGGCTCAGGAACACCACCAGCATCAGCAGCATCAGCAACAGCCTCAGCATGCAGCCACTTGCAGCCACTTGCAGCCACTTGCAGCCGCTTGCAGCCACTGGCAGCCACTTGCAGCTGCTTGCAGCCACTTGCAGGCTGCGAGTGGCTGCAAGTGTCCCAACTCAATTCACGCACCGCAGGCGACTTCAATGGGAACTTCAGAAAGCAGGCACTCAACCGATTGCCCTGTCGCGCCTGGCACTGTTTCAGCCACTCCTCGCGGTCTGGGGTGGTCAGCAATGGCTCCAGCGCCTGCCGCACCAATGCCCAGCGCTCCAATATATAAAGTGGGCCCTTCAGAACTTCTGCAAATGTGGCTTGGCAAGGTGAAGGTGGCAGGAGAGTGCGACACCCGGTTGTGAGAAAAGCTAGTTTAAGCATGAGCTTGTTTTGTGTGGAAAAAGCCAGAAATGGAAAGTGTTCTTGGAAGCAAGCGGAATATGTAGCTTGCAGCTATAGACCGCAGCCTGCGAGGATCAGCACAAAGTGTGGTTTTATATAATCCTGTTGGATCATCCAGCTACTCAGCTTCGTGGCCTTCCTCACTGGGCATCAGACACAAGCTTCCAGTGAAGGGTGAAGAAAAACACAGCAAGTCAGCACGGCACGCTAGCTGGTAACTGAGGAAGCACTGATGGTTTAGAATGAGAGAGCCAGGTACAATGGTTGCCGTGGCTGCTCTTCACAACTCAAAACGGCTATCTACCCTTCCAGGCTCAATCCACCTCTTACACCCTAAGCGTCACCCTATACAACACACTGAAATACACCCTCCACCTGAAACATCGATCATCCCAAACCCAAAGCCGCCCAACCAAGCCAAGCCCAGACGAGTGCACAAACCTCAAGCCCAAACCAGCCCCAAACTGCACCTCCAGCGCATGCCCTGCATCTGCCCAAACCGCCACGGTGGGTTGCAATACCTCGACAGGACCGACCCTAGGCCCCAAGTCAGACCGTGAGGTGCAGGTGCATCTCTCAGAGAGTCGCAAGCTGCTCAGTTTGCGTGTCGCAACAAATGACACGAAGTGGAAGAAACGACTTATCTCGCCTAAACCTGCAAGAGACAATTTGTCGGTTTACACAAAGGTGCTGGCAACGCCCTGCCAAACAAGCCTTTACTCATCATGTGTTCGATCATTTTGGACACAAGCTTGCTGCCGCCGGCCCTGCGTGCGCAACAGCGAGTCTGGCGAGTCTTGGCGCTTGCTCTGTCATCTTCACCCCCCCGCGCGATCTCTCGAGGGGCACTTTGCCAAACGTCGACTTGTCAATGTTGATGTGAATGATGCCACCGGTGCCGTCCTTCTCAGCAGCACGGGCCTTGCACGTGCCAACTCACACATGCGGAGAGCTGAACGTCTGCTGCAAAGAATGCTGTCTGTGCAAGCAACCTGCCGAAGCTCACTTAAGTCTCTTTTCTTCGTCTCTTTCTCTCTCACTGTCTTTTACCAGCACGCAGTTTGCAGTTTTCCCGAAAGCATGGAGAAGGGTTCTTCCGTTGGATTCATGGGAGTTATCATCATGAGAGTCATTGCAAAGAGTTGTCAATCATCATCAGAGTCATTGCACAGAGTCATCATCATCGTGAGGAGTCGTGGCAAAGAGTTATCATCGTCAGAGTCATTGCAGAGAGTCATCATCATCATGAGAGTCATTGCAAAGAGTTATCATCATTACACAGAGTCATCATCATCAGAGTCATTGCAAAGAGTCATCATGCAAAGAGTTATCATCATCAGAGTCATTGCAAAGAGTTATCATCATCAGAGTCATTGCACAGAGTCATCATCATCAGAATCATTGGCACAGAATCATCATGAGAGTCATTGCACAGAGTCATCATGAGAGTCATTGCACAGAAGCATCATCAGAGTCATTGCGCAGAGTCATCACAGCCATTGCGTAGAGTCATCGCAGCAGAGTCATTGCACAGAGTCATCATGACAGCCATTGCATAGAGTCGTCACACAAGAGTCATTGCACAGAGTCATCATGACAGCCATTGCATAGAGTCATCACACAAGAGTCATTGAACGGAGTCATCACGAGAGTCATTGCACAGAGTGATTGTGAGAGTCATTGCACAGAATCATCATGAGAGTCATTGCACAGAATCATCATGAGAGTCATTGCACAGAGTCATCATGAGAGTCATTTGCGGTGTAGTCACTGTTTTGCTCGAGGGCGATATATGTGTCATCTTTGACGTGCTTGGCAAACTCGTGTGAGGGTGGGTCCGATAGGTGGCAAGATAGCAGGAACAAGGTTAGTTGCTGTGTATTGCTCGTGACCACATTGAGCAAAAAACTTGCGCGGGAATGATCGCCGGGCTGTGATGCGTTCGGGCCAACCGTGGTCTAGTTTGTTTGCACAACACTTTTTAGGTGTCTAGAAAACAGTGGGGCTGGATGAGTAGCTCGCTCTTTTGATGTCAAATTCTGGTGAAACATGACTGTGGCGTGCTCTTCTATTGCGTGTCTGAATGGCTGTGTCATGGCAAAAAGCAGATTTTCTGACAGCGCACGCCGAGTCACTACGCACGAGTCACTCATATAAGAAATCCCTGTTTTGTTGGACGGGCCGCGCCTTCGGCGCATACTTTGCAACAATCCCGGTTGTTCGATCGTCAAACCTGCTGCCTCAGGAAATGTGACATGCTGTGCTAAGTCCATGTGGAACAGAATGGAATGCCTCTGTGAAACGAGCTTTTTGCCTCGTTCCGTGCAGAGATAGCTCACTTCATCCCTGCCTACAGCGATGATGCAGTCCGCATTCTGGATTGCAAAGTTGGCATAGGCGGCCCTAGATGCTTGAGGCTAGCACAAGATCATCAGGCCCACGTGCCGCAAATCGCGCTAAGGCAGCGTCCCATGCATGCCCAGCATGTGCATGGACAAAGGTTCCCGCTCGTCAAAAATGCCCATCGCGTGGCACTGGCACAGTATCAAGAGTCATGCTTTGACGGGGTTCAGCGATGTGGATGTCGTGCGATCAAGAGCGTGCACACAACGTACAAGTGTAACGTACGGCCATGGGCTCACATAGGGTGCTTGCAGGCGCGCTTGAGGGTGTGCTTACAGACACTGTGTGCGCGCGTCGCCAAAACACAAGAAAGACGGCACCTGCAACATATTTTGGCACACACCTTTTTCGCACACTGTGTGTGTGTGAATGGTTTGCCCAGTACAGTGTGGTCATACAATGAGTGCGCACATTCTAGGTTCATAGTGCATGCACAGTGAGCACACCATGCGCACACAATGCTTGTTGTGTACGTGCATTGTCTGTGCCCTGTGCAGCAAATGTATCTGCGCCGCACGGACTGTACATGCGCACTGCGCAGCTGCCCGTGCATTACCCTAGACCCCTTCCATGTAGAGCGTTGATCACTTGTCAAAAGGCCCACAAGCATGAATCGTGACTCTTGACGTTTAAGAATTCTTGAGCTGTCAATGTCCCTTTGTTGTTCGATCCAACCCTCAATACAAGGGTACCCAACTTGAGAGGCGTATACAAGACCGGCAAATTTGAGGAGAGGCAACAGCACTGCAGCCACAAAGGAGTCACAAAGATGTGGCCGGGTGCGCTGTAGTTGTGACAGGCAACTTGGCATGCTTGGCCAGCTTCGTCACAATCTCCGGGCAGTGGCTCGCCCCTGGCAACAGGCTGCAGCTGAGGTGACGGCTGCACTGCGACCTAATCCCCAGAGCTGGGCCGTTGGGCGGCCGGGCCCTGCCCCACGTAAAGGATGGGCCGCTTTGACTTGTTGATGAGATCGGCGGCCTCGACAAGAACAAAAGGGCTTGAGCAAACGCCACCGTGAGAAGCACGCATCAAAGGCTCGGGCCTTCTGCACGGCACCTGTGTCCAGCATCGGAGGAGCGTCTGCTGATGCGGTCGATGCTTTTCTGAAGATGGCATCGGGCACCTTTGCCTTCATTGAAACGATGTCCTGACAGGGTTGCGCACCAAAAAAGAGGCTCTGAAAATGGTTGGATCCCTGGCACGAGAAGATCGCCTTGTGAGACTCGGCCATGCAAAACAGCAAATTACAAAGAATTGCCAAAACCTGAAAAAACGAATCACCTGCAGTTCAGGTTGCCACTCTCTGCAGACTCAAGTGGTTTGTGCAAGAGTCAGTCCTTGGGCAGGTCAATGTGGCATGGACCAGGACGGCCGGAACATGCGATTCGAAACGCCTGGCGCGGGGCAGGCATGAAATCACTGCTGAACTCTTGGAAGTTGAACACGTTGTAGCTAGAATTATGCCCCTTCCCAGTTAAAGTCCCTTCCATGATTGCCTGAACTGTTAAAAGGCAGTTGTCGTCACTCAGATTCAACAGCCTCATTGACAGCCCATGGCAGCTGGTTGAAGTCCAGGCACACCTCAGCTCCAGGGACAGCATACAAATGGGCCAATACAGAGAACAAACGAGAACAGCAAAGTCATACCAAGCTTAGAGCATAATTCCATTTCGTGCAAGATCGCGTGATCTCCGTCGCGGGACACTCCTGAACACCCCGCTCTCTGAGCCTCAAGCTCCTCCCAGACAGGGGCTCAAACCGTCGCAATCGCGCTATTTTCTGAATCACATCCGCGGGTACTGCGCATACCTGGGCAATTGTGGCCAGGCAATGTGGATGCTTATTTGACAAACACACCCTTACCCCAGTTGCTGAACAACATTCTGCACAAATTACTATAATTCAATCCTCAATCTGGCAATAAGGAAACCTCCCAGGAAAGGACCTTCACCACGGGTAAGCTCGGTTCTACCTGGAGAGGTTGAGAATGGGATGTTGAGAATCCTTGACATGAAACAGTCTACGTACTGGGTTGGTCTGGGTCATCGTCGTTTTGATCAGAAAACCAAGCTCCAACCCATGACCGCAAAGATGGAGCAAGCATGCAAAATACACACTCCAGAAACTGCTTTCAAAACAAGGCATAGGAAAACAAGGTAAGCTGCGCAGCGCTGTACCGGTCATCAACCTCAGTTCCCTGTTGCAGGCCTCACTGGCGCCACGTGCACCGGGAAGAACCGCTGCGGCAGCGATGCCAGCTGCATCTGCAGCGGGGCCTTGAACTCACTTGACAGTTGCTTTCTAAAATAGCATCCCCTGTTTGGATGGTTTAAAAGAGAAACAAAGGTAAACCCACCAAACAACGCAAAGTTTGAACTCCACTTTCATCACATTCCCCCGAAAGTTTGAACGTAGCGAGTCTTGTTGGGCCATTGTTGTTTTTGGAGCCAGCCTTCCTTTGCCCGTCGTTTGCCAACTGAGCCGCGATCAGCAAGCCGCAGAGGAAGCAGTGATCATATCTTATAGACTTCGGACGGCCAAACATAACTCGGGTATATTGCTCAAAGTTTGCACAAAGCCGCGCTGGACAAGAGTTTTTGTAAAATAGGCTTGAATCGGGAAAGAGCAACAAAAACTTGCGTGAGCAAAATACATTTTGTTGAAATTGAGAGAGCTCTGTCTGAGGGAACGCATTCTGCCTCAAGCCGCCAAAAAGAAATGGAAAGCGCAGCTTTGATGTCCAAACTTCTGCGGTGATAAGGCGGAGGCTCCTCAATCACACCCCACAAAGGGAAAGTTCACCTAGCAGTGAGGGGCATTTTGGCTGCACATCTAACTTGCACAGGCGCCCTTGAGCTTGGGTCGGCCTGGCGGCACCGCGCCAACTAGTCATGCTTCTTTGCAAATTGAGGCATTGAAGGATCACGAAATGGAGCGCTGGTCAAACTTCCTGCCAACATCATCTCAAGTTGCCCGCTGTCAATTAACTCGCGTAGAAACGAATCCCATCAGTGTGCCAACACGTGTGACAACTCCGCACAGTCCCCGAAAAGGATAGTCAGCCCAGCGGCGGGCGGCGCGTCAGACCAGCGAGGCGGCCTCCACATGGGCGGCACGTTGCGAGTCATGCCGCTGGGGGCACGTTGGGAGCTAATGAAAACCAACAGACACAAGTCAGAAGTTCGCCCTCCAGTCAGCAGGCTGACGCGTGATGTGGGCTCACTCTGAGTATGCTATTGCGAAAGTGGCGCGTGAGACAAACACTGCGTGCCACCTGAAGACTCTTCGCCCGATGCATGGCCAGCCTTCCACCACAGAGCCTCTCAAACAACCGGACCAAACTTCGAGTGCAACACGCCCCATGAGGACAGCCCATTCACAAGCGAGTAGCAGCGGACTTGTCCGCCTTGCGAGTTGCGGCAAGAGAAATCATAGTTTGACAGATTGAAGCATACTCTCCAGTCTACAAAACATGTCCTTGACAAGGCATACGATTGATGCCTGAGATCCTGCGGCACCCATCACAAGGCTCCCCCAACCGAAGTTCACCCGCCCGGCCTCTGCCTGGGTTCTGGAGCCGCTTCTGAGCCAGGAACGAGTTGTGCAAGAAAGACCACAAATGATCTACTTGCGAACGTTGGAAAACTTGCACTGACCACAACTGGGTTGGAAGGTCCATTCAACCATACTCCCAAGAGAAGCCAATTTACCGCAGCACAGGCGTTTGTTGCCGAGGGCAAGATTGGAGAATACACAAAGGGCTGAGTTGCTTGGATGGCAGCTGTGGGCGTTGCAATCTGTTTCTATTCCAAAGCTGCTCTCCGACCATGAACAAAACGGCTTGGTGATACCTTAGTACCGGTTGTTTTCTTGTTCCCAACAGCACACTCGGCACAATGAGTGTCCGGACCCATATTCTGAAGAGGCGCTTGCGGAAACAACAATTTGAAAGCGTCCCATGCCCCTGCTGGTGAAACGCTCTGAATGCCAAAGGATGAATGGCTTGAAAGAGAATGTGGCTCAATTGGGATGGCAAGTGTGGGGGTTCAATGACCCCTTCAGGACAACATTTTGCCAGCTAACTAACGCACGTGCACAAAAATCGCACCCGCCGTTCCTTGCCCCATTGTCAAACTACAGCCAACGCGGCAATGCGCGAATGGAAAACCAAATCAGATCCGTGCTGCAAACTTGTTGGTGGGGCCAGGAAGAAACCCACAGAGCTTGCACAACAAGCTCCGGCCTTGCGGGTGATCCGCGCTGTCCTGGGCACCAATTGTCTTGTAGGGAAAGAATCAAGGGCTTCCCAAGCTGCGCTCAGCATTGGCAAGAAAAGCTGCCTTCGGGTCGTATAAATCTAAATCGTTGCCCCGTCGAAGCTGTGACAGGACAAGCCCCGATCCGCCCTCAGAGGCAGGGCCCAGCCCCGACCCAATCCCGTCCTTTTCGAAGTCCAGCACGCAAAAGGCCAAGCAGGCAAGCATCAGGATGATCAAGGACACCAAGATGCCGTACGGCACCAGCCTTTCACGTTTGAGCGGTTGCATCAACCTGGTCGGCCCAGCCTGTTCCACAGCAAAGGCACAGGGGAGCAGAAAACACACAAGCATCTTGATCTACCTCTGCACCACAGGGCAAAGAGCTTGTTGCAGTCGCACAAGTTGAGATTCGAAGTCAACTTGCCAAAGTGCAAGTGCGCCTCCAACTGGCAAAAGCTCCCAAGGGATCTGGCTCCTCCCTTCCTGCGCGCCAACTGGCTTCAAGCTCCCCCAGCGCGCCATTTCGCCATTAGAGAAAGACTCAGTCAACGTTCAACTTGAACATTGGCTTTGAGATACGCACACGAGATCATGGTTGCACCTATGCACCAGCGAATTGCAAAATACTGTTTGCCATTTGACATGCATTCAGCAAGAATACAAACTGCCTTCCCCCAGCCATTCCCTGTCCCCGAGCCTAGAACGGGAGGATTCCGTTGCAGGCTGCGGGGCGGGCCTGAAAGCTCAGGGGCAGAAGGAGGCAAAGGGCCCTCCATCGAGATGGGCTGGCAAACTCCACCCTGGGGCTAAGCCTCTGGAAACTCATGTCCTGTGTGCGGCTATCAGCCATGTTCGGTCAGAATACCAGGATCCTGGAGCTCAGAAGCGAGAATCCTTTCAGGGCTCTATTGCAACCGGGCCGCAGAAGTGCTGGATGAGCTCGCCAGCCACTACATTCTGGGCATAGCTGCTGGTGGTGCTAGCGTCATCGAGTCCAGCGGAACTGTACCTGGCACTTCGAGCGCGCACGGCCAGAAACGGACGAAGACCGGGGCACGTTGGATCTTCCACACGGCAGCCATCTGCGCTGTACCTGCCCACAAGCGGAATGCACCACAAACCACCGATCCCAAGCAATATTCCAGCGCACTGCCAATACCGGCAGAGGATGTCAGAGTAGCAGATCTCCCTGGCATGCAGCTCCAGCCACCGGCGATGTCACAGCATCCCCCCAAAGACTGCGCACCTGCATCGCTCTATGTTCGCATCCTCATCCTCCTTCAGCTTGCCGATCTTTCGGAGGTTGTGGACCTCAACGCCTTTCAGCTGCCGCTCGACCTCTGCGAGGCACTGAACTTCTGCACCTCTGGCCGCTTTGTCCACTTAAACTTGTCTCAAACACATAGAAAACATAGAAGCATAGAATCAAGAATTGCTCTACTTTTGGTCTCTTCATAAATTAAAAAAAGGGACAAACAAATGGTGGGCGTAATGGTGAGCCGAGGCTGCCGCCCTGACACTGCCATGCTGTACGCGCTGCCTCAGATCCCGACCGCGGTCCGACGGTCCGACGGTCCGTTGATATGTCCTCTTCAGCTCTCTGGGCACCTGGCCCTCCAGAGAACTGCACCAGGGCGAAGCCATTCCGCGACTCGCAGTGGTGGCCCTAGTCAAACTCGCAGCGGTAAGCCAGTGAGTGCGATCAGACTCGCCTGACCCTGCCAGCAGCCACCCTCCGTCTGTCCAGGGTTGAACTGCCACACTGGGCACCTGGCAGGCCCAAGCACAAAAATTAAAGAAGTTATTGGGCGTTCCATCTCCAGCGCATTAGCATGCCATAGAGACCAAGCATCCAGACAGCCAATCTTGTTCAATCCTAATTATGCAAGACTACCATTCCTGATATGCAAAGCCGCGCCTGGGGTCGTTTAAGCACGACGCACGGCAAGTCTCCACAGTGGGAGCTTGCACCAAGAGCAGACCCACGCACCTTGGGGCCAAACGAAGCAACCTTGAAGCCCCTCAACCAAAAGAGAGGTCGGACCCCACAAATGCAATGGCTGACTTAGGAAGGCAACACTTCCCACTCAATCTCTGAAATTTGTCCCAAGGCTCAAAAGGCCACAACATGTGTGCCAAATTCAACAAGAGGCAAAAGGACCGAACCTCCAAGCAAAGGACAAATATTGCGCAGTAAGTCGCCCCCTAGGAAAATTCCTGACCTTGGCCTGGATCATCCAAATCTTGACCTTGTGGGAATCTCGTGAAACTTCTAGCGTTGTCCCTTTGAAGGCCGCTATGGTCAACCACGCCCGTGCTTTCTGGCGACTGGATGCGGACGCGTTGACTTGTTTGGATCATATCCTCTCACCAAATAAGAACCAGGCAGAAACAGGCAGTGTAGTTTGAGCCTGCGGCTGGCCCGGCCAGCCCTCATGAATGTCCTTC